TATTTTAAATTTTTCACGTTCATAAAACATAACCAAATTATTATTAGAATATAAGAATTTTTATATTTTATGTTTTAATAAAAGTACTATTAGAATATGAGTTTTTGCTAGAAAATATATCATACAATAAGAAATTGATTTGATATATTTATATATTCTCTGAAATAGCCTATATCCTATAAACTATTTTCCTCATTAAGATGTATATGAAAAACATCACATGTATGTAATATCTTTTAAAAATGTTTTAAACTGGCCCACATTTTCTTGACATCATTTCTCATTCAAATGAAAAGGTTAGTAAAACTTTCCATTTGCTATTAGATATCATTTTGAAATACAGTCCATTACTTGCTAATTTTAATGCTTCACTGATTCTCTATTACTCATAAATTCTTTATGTCAGAGCATTAGCTTCATCTGTTTTCACATTTTCTGAATCTAGCACAGCGATCAACTCACAAGACGTGTTAATTAATGTGCTTCACTAGGAATGAATAACTGCAGTGGAGTTGGGCAGCATTGCATTATTCATGTAATCCGATAAACTCTAACACTCTTACTTCCCTGTATGGAAAAAAACGTTTTTCTGATCCAGAGCCCATGAAACAGGATGACATTTGTCATCTGAGGAAAATTTCAGAACAACTAAATATCGATCCCCCGTGCAATACTATAATTTCTACCCTGATTCTACAAGACTAGTACCTTTGCAATCTATTTAGTGTCCAGAATGTACATTCTGTTTTTCCCTCTCTTCTGTCCCTTCAATTGCAAGAATGGTGTCTTGCCTTGCTCCCCTTTTTATGTCATTTCAGTGGGCGTCATTTTATCGTTATTCCTTGGTGGGTCATTCATTGGGAGAAGAGCACTCCTTAAGAATAACTGAGGAGACGGGCCCTCCCTGGTGGTGCAGCGGGTTAAAGCACAGCATTAAGAAGCTAAAGCCACTTCCACATGAGTTCGATCCCCGCCTGCCCGGGAGATGACGACATGACGCAGCAGACTGCTCTTGACCCGCCCGCTGCTCCCCTCAGCAGTGAACCTTGACGATCTGCCTGTGTCTGGTGAATCCTCTCAACGCCTTTGCACGTCTGGCCTGTACCCCAGTTCTATATCAATAAATAAATAAATCTTAAAAAAAAAAAAGAATAACTAAGGAGTTACATTTTCTCCTTTCACTGCTAAGCTCCCAGTTGCCAAGATGCACCTGGCATGCCTTCCAGGGCATCTCTCATAGAGGCTGCTGCCAGGAGCCTTGCTCTGGCCTGTCCATGTTTCTGCTGCTTGAGTTTCAAGTTCCTCTCTTTCTCTTTCCTGAAATTTTAGAAATCTCTGGCCCCATTCCCTGCCCAAATAACTGTATTACAATACACAAAACCACACATGTGGCTCCTGGAGTTCAACCCATTATGAACTGAGTACAATTACAGCAAGCCATGGTAATAGTTGCCAGTTACCCTTCTGAAACAACATTTTATTTAATTTAATGCTACATAAGCTTTAGGTACAGTGTGTGTGTGTGTGTGTGTATCACATTGTGTCCTAACAGGTTTTCTATGCTTTGATGTCAATGAACCTTTCCAAAATCCCATATTTGTTTAATTCATTTTAACATGAGTGCATACTTATTATGAATGCATTTATCTTATTTGACCTGACTTTTCTCTGTTCATAGAAACTGTTCTTTGTTTTAATTCTGTATGCAACCTTTGAGTCGCTTCTTCAATCTTTGTTGTCAATTCCAAATTTATGTTTTTCGGGTTCCTCCAAATCATTGATAAACATACTTAGTGGATACAATATAAAGTACAGAATCCCATAACAAACAATAAAGACTGGTTGGCACTGATTTGTCAACCAAACTATTTGCATTTTGTTTTACAGAATCTACATATCTACTTTTGTTCATCTGATTTATATTTTCT